AACCCCACCAGCAGAGAACCCCGCCAGCAGAGAACCCCGCCAGCAGAGAACCCCGCCAGCAGAGAACCCCGCCAGCAGAGAACCCCGCCAGCAGAGAACCCCGCCAGCAGAGAACCCCGCCAGCAGAGCACCACCCTCTGCCCTGCCTCTCCCCTCCCGCGGCTGCTACTGTGGGGGGTAGGTGGCGGGAGCGGGGGGGTGGGAGGGCTGGCTGCAGTGTGAAGGACAGGGCAGAGACAACTGTGGGTTGGGCAGGGGTGTGGAGGAAGGAAGGGAGGGAGGGGGTGCGGTTCCAGGGGGTGGCTGAAATGAGGGTGGGGATGTGGGGGTTAGTAAGAGGGGACGCTGCGGCCACCCCCCCACCTCCACTCCTCATCCCCCACTCAACCTCCCCTGTGTAAAAGGGGGTTAGTAAGAGGGGATGCCGCGGCCACCCCCCCACCTCCTCTCCTCATCCCTCACTCACCTCCTCCTTTGTTCTTATCTCCTCTCCTCCCCTGTCTCTCTCTCGCCTCCTCCTCACCTCTCTACCGTCTTTCTCAACGCCTGCAATACCCTTTCAGGGGGTGTGACTTACTCTAGCTATGTGCTGCAGGCAGTTAAGGGGGTGTGTCGCGATATATATTTATATATATTTATAACTGCCTGTAGCTTTAGCTCAAGTGTAGTTATGTTTCCTTGTTGGTGGTGCACCTTTGCTAGTTTGCTATATGTATCTTGTGTGCTATAGTGAACAATACACATTCTCGATTCTCTCTTGGCACAACTCCCTCGACACCCGCTTGGCCTAGGCTACTAAGCCTAGGCCCTTAGTTAAACCCGTTCCTAGCTAAGTTCGTCTCGTGACAGCAGATCACCCGGGACAGAGCCGCTCGCACCATCACACTGACGCAGTCACACATGGTGCAGCAGGTCCTTCGGCGGTTCGACTTCCAGTTCTCCACCACTCAGCCCACTCCTCTTGCTGTTGACCACAGACTCACGGGCCCCTTTCCTGACGAGCCCTTTGAGTCCAGTGGACCCTACGCAGAGCTGGTGGGCTGCCTCATGTACCTGATGACTTGTACTCGGCCGGACCTCGCCTTTCCCCTCAGCATCCTCTCTCGCTTTGTTGCGACTGGGAGACACCGTCCTGTCCACTGGACAGCTGCTGTGAGGGTGGCGAAGTACCTGGCGACTACATCAGGCATGGGGCTTGTGCTTGGAGGGACTCGGCCAGTGGCGTTGACTGGTCACTGTGACTCTTCCTACGCTGACGACGTGGAGACTCAGCGCTCGACTCAGGGTTTCTGCTTCAGTCTGGGAGCTGGTGCTGTGTCGTGGAGGTCTACACGGTCGTCGTCTGTGGCTACTTCCAGTGCAGAGGCAGAGATCTACACAGGTGCCATGGCGACACAGGAGCTTCGCTGGTTGACCTTCTTGCTCGCCGACCTTGGTGAGCGGCCTCGCTCTGCACCGACCTTGTACGCTGACAACAAGGCCATGATCCTCCTGTGTCGAGAGCCTCGACTGGAGAGCAGAGTGAAGCATATTCACGTGAGCTGCAGCGACGCGGCCAGGCACGCCTGGACTTTGTGGCCTCAGAGGCCAACACTGCAGACGTCTTCACCAAGGCCTTGGCGCTTGGTGATCACCACAGGTTCTGTGTGCAGTTGGGGCTTGTTGAGGTAGGCCCTCGGTTGCTGTAGTCTTGTTGTTTGCTCTGCTTGTTGTGCTTCCTATTTATATCCTAGTGAACTCTTGAACTGGCCTTGTGGCCGCTTGCTTGCGCTCGGAATTTGTGTGGTGTCCTTGAGATCCACCCTGAGCTTGCCTTGTTTCTTGCTTTAACTGGTCTTGTGACCGTTTGTTCACCTTGCTTGCTTTGATGCCCCTCACTTAGCCTATGGGGGTGTGTCAAATGTAATTCTATGCTTGTAGGCTACAGTGAGTAGCACAATAGGGAGTACAGTTGTTAGGGTTGCATATTTGTACTTCCACACTTTCTAGTTTCATCATTCCGTTGCATTCCTATTCTGAGAATTAAGACAACATGACAAGGGAAATATATAGCATTCCTAGCTAGCCATGTACTCTGAGGGGTACATTCATTTATTAATTGTTTTGCATTGCTACAGTAATCACGACTATTGCGATACTCGACAGTTACCATGTTGCAGCGTGTAACTTCCGATTACAGTTGCGAGGTGGTCAACAGTTGCGACCATTGACTTCCCTGCGATTGTTGAACTTCTCGTGGCTATTGACCTTCGCGTGCTATATACGAGCTAACGCGGTACTAGTACAAGTGCGCTGCTTCGTTATGAAGCGGTGCACTAAGGAGAACCTTCGGGAATGTTATAATAATCATTGGTTTTTCCAAGAGATGCTCTTGGAACCTCCGACTCCAAACCCCCTTCCTCTATCTCCTTCCCCACCCCATCCTACGCCAAATACACCAAATTCGTATCCATGTTTGCCTGACGTCACAAAGCCACTAGAGGCGCCAATGCGAGACTCAACAATATCATACCTTAATTAGCTGTAGTTATGTTTTGGTTGACTTTCTGTAAGAGTATACCTTCAGTACGTGATTGTAGCGTAGTACCTGCTCGCAACACCACACCAAGCAGAAAAGCACACGGCAGTTCAGGCAGGAACAGCAAGTCTTTCCTGACACACCTTGCTCATCCAGACACGAAACGGGCGGTCAGGGTGCTAAAAGTTGTAACTCAACCAATTACAACACACTTTCACAACTCGACATGACGGCTGCGCGCTTGGGCAGTTGCTCCACACGTAAATCATTCGCGGGCAGCCTTTCAAGCGCCGTCCACTTTGGGCACCACAAACGACAGGTCGCCAAAAGTCGGTTGCGTCTTGGTCTGGCAACCACCAAGCTCCGTCGTGCATCTGGTTTGGCTCGATTCGCTTGTTTCACGAAGCTTCAGCGTTTCGTCACAGCTGGCGTGGAAGGGGGTCTGTGCGAGCTGGGACACGTGGCGAGAGTGGATTGTCTCTCTGTTGCGACAAGGGCGCAGGCCAGCGGAGAAACGTGGGGATCGAAGTGCAAATGAACAGTGCACGCTGCGCCCAACCTTTCACCAATTCCCGAATTCTCCTCCAGCAAAGCGCGGCTCGAATCGCACACCCTCTCAGCAGCACGAAATTAGCGCCTCATGCTTTCTTCCCCCACAGCTGTTTCACTAGATGAAGCAGCAGCAAGAACAAAAGCATCAAAAGAAACGCTAGAAGCAGGGCGCGGCCACAGCCATCTCAAACCATCCACTAGTGAGCAAGCACCCTCGGAGGACGCGGTTCGATTAGAAGTAGTTCACCTACCATGCCTCAGAGTACATGCTAGATTCCTGGTTCAACAGGAGACAGGATCTCAATCCCGTAACCCCGTGACGCATTCCTTCGTTCACACCATTCCACATGCCGTCCTTACCTTTCCAGGGCTCTTAGCAGATATATGCACAAGGCAGCTTCTTGTTCAGCTAATTATACGTTTTTCTGTCAGAGCTGTCTTCATAAGTTCACATTAGAGAGCGAGGGTCCACCCTCGCACCTCCCGAGCAACACGGAGGAGCCTTTTCTGTCCCGCCAACTGCAGGGAGCCGACGAAGCCGACATGCAGCAACTACGCCCGCGACCGCTCCCGCTGCCCCACGCGCAGCCGCAGAGCCAATCACAGTCGAGATACGCGTCGCAGTCCCAGCGAATAGACATTCCTAGTAGGCCGGTCATGGAAAAGCGCGCGAAATTGCACGACTCGGAGTCGTGCAACGCCACTAAGTCGTTTCGCAAGGCGCGCTGGCAACAGTTTCAGCAAACTGCAGTGGATAAGCTTTATTCAGTGACATGGTAAGTTTGACGTTATGTTGTTTAATAAAGCTTGTGCTTAAGGTGTAAGCTAAATTCCGTGCTTTGGTACCCCTCGTTAAATTGTGTGCCATGTTGTGGTGAGATACCTCGAACATGGCAAGCCGTATCCGTGGAGGTGACTTGCTTTGAGTGAAATGGTAAGCCGTGTGGAACTGATAACGCGATGCGGGTAGAGTCACTCAATAATGAGGGACGTGGCGTGCCGCCCATTGATTATTCCTAGCTCTCGCTCGAGTCAAATCGAGTAATTTGGAAGCATTCTCCCTCGCTGACGCAACCGCCCGTTCCCTGCCCTACCCCTTGTGCCGCCCGTTTTCTTGCACGCCGCGCCCATCCCTCACCTTGTCCCTCCGATTCTCCCCAAAAACCCCTTTTTCCACCACGCCCTCCCCTGCTTTTCCTTCCCCTTCTCCCCCTCTGACTTCCCCCCATTCCCCCTTCTGTTCTGCGAGGAAGTTGTAATTGTCATTTTCACGCCCGTGCCCGTAACGACGTGCCTCATCGGCGCGCTGCAGCTGCGTCAGCACCAGCCAAATACCGTATCCCTCACCCTCTCTCCCTCGTTTCCTCCATATCAGGGGGCTAGCAGTGCTCGTTTTCACATCCGTACCCGGAACGACGTGCCTCATCGGTGCGCTGCTGCTGCCGTCAAACGCCGTGCTCGTGCTGCTCGCCGTGTGGCTCGTTATAGAGTCGGTGTTTTTCGTGTTTCGTTCTAAGCAACTAAAGCAAATCAGTGACGAGTATGTGGAGCTCCCGCTCCCATCGCGCGAGGAGATCTCGGCGCTTCTCGACCGGGTCCTGGCCGTCGCGTAAGTAAACGCCGTCAATGCAGGTGCATAGCCCCCTTCGTTTGCACCTAGTGAAGCCGCCAAAATGTCCCACCCTTCTCGACCGCGTCCTGGCCGTCAACGCCCGTCCCATGAGTCAATGCTGTTGCATGACTCAACGACGAGGCTCTTGCGATCGGGCTGCGAATCTCTTTCCGCCTGATTTCCCCCACCTCCATTCCTCCCACTCCTAATCTCCCTCCACAACCCCCCTACCCTTCTCCGTCGTCCGGCCTTGACCCTTCCATTTTCCGCGTTATCAGGAAGCAAGCGGATTATAACGATTTCGTGGGGGGCTGGTTCATGGGAGCGTCTCTCGATTCTTTAACGCGTACAAACATTCGTCAGTTCATCTCGCACGGCTTTTTCCACCGCTTCTACAACGAGCTCTCGAGCGAATACCAAGAAGCAGTTGAAGGTAACGAGGCGCCTCTAATGCGTACAAACCTTCGTGTTGTTCCCTTCTCATCCCAAACCGAATGCAAGTCAACTCGAGTGCCCTGTCAACGCCAGTCAACTCACGTCAACTCGAGTACCCTGTCTTTTTCCCCTCGTGCTCTCCAGAATTTGTTGACCGAGCCGAAGCCGACCTAGGAATGCACTTTAAAGACCCCGACGCGCCGGCTCCACCTCCCCCCGACCTGCTGTCCTTCGGTTCCGACAGCGAGGGGGGCGAGAGGTGTGAGAGCGAGAGTGAGAGCGAAGCGGATGCAAGACCAAGGCGTACCGCCGTTGACGCCGCTGTCGGCGGCTCCGCCGTCTGCGGACCGCTGGAAGCGGCGGCAATCGCGGCGTCCTCGAGGAGCCTCGGGCGGAGCTGGAGCGACGAGCAGCTTCCGCGAACGAGCGGGAGCAGCGCGGATTGCGGAAAGGGGGAAGAGGAAGAGGCGGAGAGCGGGGGAAATGGAAAAGGGGAAGTCGAGGCGGGATTTGAGTCGAGCCGAGACGAGGGGAAGGAGGGGATAGGGGAGGGGCGGAAGAAGGAGAAGGGGGTAGACGAGTCGGTGCGCTTCATGGCACACACGCGCGAGCCCCTCCGCGCCATCATCCACCCGCTCGCCTTCTACGTCTGGTGCGCCCCAATTCCCTCTAGAATCTCCTCCTGCCCCGCCTTTACAGTGCCTCGCTTCCCCGTCCCGCTTTCTCTCCTTCACCTCGCGCACCTCCTTTCTCCCCCCATCTCCCCCTGTCCGCGTGTCTTCAGGGGCCATATCGTCCGGCTCCTCACCGCTGCCGCTGTGCGACTTGTGAGGCGCCTCGGAATCCCAATCTCCCCCCATCCCTGTCTCCCCCTGTCCGTGTGTCTTGCAGGGGCCATATCGTCGGGCTCCTCACCGCCGCCGCCATGCGCCTCCTCGGATTCTCCAAGTACGCGCCCCCTTGACCTCCGTTGACCTCCGTTGACCTCCGTTGACCTCCGTTGACTGCGTTGATCCCTCTCGATTCTGTTCGTCTCTCTTTATCATTCTTGGTCTCTGTTGACCCCGGTTGACTAGCCTCGAGTCACCCCCTTTGACTCGCCTTGACTCCACCCCCCCACCCCGTTGACTTGCGTTGACCAGGCACACCGCGCCCAACGGCATTCACTACTGGTTCCGCGCTCCCAGAAAATCGGCGCCAAAGGTGTGTTTTCTGTGCTGACGTGGAAAGCCTTTAACTTGTCTCTCCTGATCCTGACCCCACTTATCGTTGCGTTTTCCTGCTGACCAACTAAAGAATCCACTTCCCCTGGTGCAAACATGTTCCCTGTGATACTTTTATCCTATCTCTTGTCCCCTCCATTCCTCTATCCCCCCATCGCCCCTTTCCCACGCCACTCCCCCATCCACGCCACTCCCGCATCCCTCCTCCCCCAACTTCCCGTCCCCCATCCGCCTTCCCCCATTGCCCCCGCTTCCCCTTGTCGCAGCGGAAGTCCCACAAAGCAGCAGCAGTGGTGCCGATTTTCGACGACACGTCAGCAGCAGGCGCCACGTCAGCGGCAGCAACATCACCGCTACTTGGGGCGACGGGGGCCCGCGTGAGAAGGGAGGAGGCGGAGGGGGAGGAGGGCGTGGTGCTGGTGCACGGGCTAGGGCTCGGCCTCACTCCCTACCTCTCGTTCGTGCACATGCTTTCAAGAAGCTACTCGAACAAGGTAATCAATCCCATACTGCTCGCTGCATTTCAACGTTGCTGTATGTGTTCCTATGCACCGTAGCAGTCAGAAACAAGTGTTTGCCACCCCTTATTTCTCTCCATGTTCTCCTCCCGTATTAGCCTTCTATTACAACCATTTTTTTTTTTTTTTTTTCCTGCAGCCATTAACTGATTCTTTTTAATGTATTTTTTTTATGCTCGTCTGCAGAAGCTTATAGTGGTGGAGCTGGCACATCTAGCAGTGCGCCTGGCCACGTCATCACCCACCATTGATGACGTGGCAGACGGGCTAACTGATGCGATGGCGGTTCACGGCATGCAATCAGCCATCTTCGTGGGACACTCGTACGGTGCTCTCGTGCTCGCTCGGGTACGTTTCTACAATAAAAAGGTTGCATGTGAAAATAATTAACATATATCAAGGTTTTACATGTATTGATTACTACAGCGATAGGTTTCGGAAGGCGTTATTCATTGCGTGCTATCACAGTCACTCTACCTCCCCCGGGCCCCACCAACCCCACTCCCCCTCTCCCCCCTCTCCCATCTCTCCCCTTTCTTCCCCCCTCTTTTCTCTCCCCACTCTACCCCCTCTCCCCCCTCTCCCCCCTCTCCCCTTTCTCCCCGCCTCTTCCCCTCCCCCCCCTCTCCCCTTTCTCCCCGCCTCTTCCCCCCTCCCCCCCTCCCCCCCCGCCCCAGCAAGTGCGCAAGTTCCCCGAGACTGTGAGCGCCATGGGCATTGTGGACCCTCGCCTTCACCTATCTTAACCCATTCCATTCCATTCTCTCCCATGCCCCCCCAAATCCCTTCCCCTCTTCCCCCACTCCCCCCAACTCCCGCGCCCCCCTCAGCAAGTGCGCAAGCACCCAGAGACTGTGAGCGCCATGGGCTTTGTGGATCCCGCATGCTTCCTGCTCTGCCTCCCTAAAGTGCTCTTCAATTTTATTTATAAGTACGTAAATTTCCTGAATACGACTTCCCATGTACCATCTGCGTGTTTTCCTGCCCGTCTCCCGAGTTACTTCTCCGGGTTTTAAGTTTGGCTCCTGCCGCGTATGCATATGTGCTTTATTTACCTAGTGCCTGCCTCCTCGCGCCTCCTTCTCTTCCCTCTCCCATGTCATGCTTGTTCGTTTCGTTCCTGTTGTCCTCTCTTCCTGCACGCCCACCTCGTTCGTTGCTTGCCCCCAATTCTCCCGCCTCTCCCCGCCACTCCCCAGGGTCCCCGGCTCCCCTTCACAAGGCGACACAATAGGAGAGGTGGCGAGGTGGTTCCTGTGTGGGAGGGAGAGCTGCAGGTGGCAACACCTCCCCCCAGCTACCCCATTCTCATTCTCTCCCCCACTTGCCCCCACTTGCCCCCACTGCCCCACTTGCCCCCACTGCCCCACTGCTTTCCCATTGCTGTGTCCCATTGCCCTGCAGGGTCCCCGGCTCCCCCTCAATAGGCGACACCATAGCAGAGGCCGTGAGGTGGTTCCTGTGCGGAAGGGAGCTGCAGGTGGCGCGTGCTCTCTGCCGCGGCTTCAACTGGTGAGCCTCACTCCCTGCTCTCTGCTTTGGGTGGTGGTAATTAAATTACCCGGTGTAGGTGGTGGTGGTGCGTGCTCTTTGTTGCGAATTCAACTGGTGGGTAGTGCACCTGCCGGGTGTCACCTGGGGTAGGTGATATCTGAATCAGGTGGTGCTGGTGGAGTGTGCACTGTGCTGCAGACTCATCTGCTTCCTGCCACCATCACTCCCGTCCATCCCCCTCCCCCACTCCCCCCTTTCCTCTGCAGGCACGCCTATCAGGTGTGGGCGGACGACATTCCTGTGCATCTCTCTGCATCTCATCCCAGTCGCCCCCCCTCCCCCATCCCCTCTTTTCCCCATTCCCCCTCCCCTTTATTGGCCCCCCTCTACATGCACGCATACCAGGAGTGGGTGGGTGGCATGCCCGGGCATCTAGCCTCTCTTCTCTAATCACCTCTCATTCACGCCTCCTCTCATCTTCCCCCCTCTCTCCCTTCTGTAGGCACACGTACCAGGAGTGGGCGGGTGACATGCCCATGCATTGCCCTGCCCCTCCCCACTCATCCCTTTCCACTGCCCCTATGCCCTCACCCTTCTTGACCCCCCTCTCTCCGCAGGCACTCCTACCAGGTGTGGGCGGATGACATTCCCGTGCATCGCTCGGTGGTGATGCTGGCAGGGCAGGACCAGATCGTCCCCTCGGAGCACATTAGAAAGTGAGTGAACCAGCTGGTGGGTGGGGTGCATGGGGGAGAAAGTAATTAGTCGTTGGGGTTGCTGGCACTCTCGGTGGTGATGCTGGCAGGGCAGGACCAGATGGTGCACTCAGAGCACATCAGGAAGTGAGTGAGCCTAGAGGTGGAGGGGGGTCGCTGGTGTGATACTCCCAGTGGTGGTGGTGGTGGGAGGATGCGTGGGCCGTTGGGGTAGGTGCATCGCTCGGTGGTGATGCTGGCAGAGCAGGACCAGATCGTTCCCTCAGAGCACATTAGTAAGTGAGTGAGCCTATGATGCATGAGAAGGAAAACAAATTCGCTGTTGGGGTTGCTGCATCACTTGGTGGCTGGCACATCCGAGGCTACTGGTGGAGGGGGGGGGGGGGGGGGTTGTGGGTGGTGGTGATGCTGGCAGTGCTGGTGACGCTGCTACTACCATGCTATACCAGCGGGGTTTCACCACTCATTGGGATGTTGAATGTGGAACCCTTGCCTACCTTCGATGTGATGTACGTACAACGATGGTTACCACCATGCCTCGACTTGTCACTCTCCTCCTCCCTTCTTCCCCTTCTCTCACCCCTTCCTCCCTTCTCTCCGCAGCTACCTGGCCAACACGCCAGTGGATGTCATGTACAACGACGGGTACCACCATGCGCAAATACTCTTCAGGTATAAATCACGTGCACACAAGTTTCACGCAAATACTTTTCTCTGCACTACCTTGTTTCTCCCTCTTTTCTCCCTGTCGCTACCTCTCTCTGTTTCTTCCTGTAGGCACACATTAGAAGTATTTATCTCCCTGCTTTCACTTTGGTTCTCCCTTTCTCCCCACCCTTCCTCCATCTGATTTCCTCTCCCCCTCCCTCTCTCTCCTCACTATCTCCTTCTCTCCCTCTACTTCCTTCTCAATTTCCCCCACACAGTGACGCCAAGCAGCGGGAGTTCATCACGCGCCTCAAGGCAGCTTGCCGCTGACCCCCTACGACGATTCAATTCATAAGTTAAAAGCCGTGGCTTCATCAGCTAAAGCCACGGCTTTCATCAGTGCGAGTCCCTCATTTGTGTACCCACGTGGTTGCATGAGGTTGACTAGTGCACCAATCAGCAAAAAGACACATGGCGGCACTTGACAAGAGGGCATTGCAGCTCGCGTCAGCATGCTCTCAAGGGAGCCGGAAATAAGCTGCGCAATTCTTTCTGTTAGTCGTCTAACCCCCAGACTGACTTGCAGTGGCAATGGAAGCAGCAGCAGCAGCAGCAGCAGCAGCAACAGCAGCAGCAGCAGCAGCAACAGCAGCAGCAGCAGCAGCAGCAGCAAGAGCAAGACCAACCGGGTATTAAGAAGTTCATGTGACATCCGTCACTACACTAATAACATATCAGTTGCACGTTCACTGACAGGTCCTCTACAGAGGATGGTGCAGTCAGAAAATGATCTCTGATAGTCGGTCCAGCAATAGGTAGGAGGAAATCGATGCTATTTTTTGTTGTAGATGGGTTAGGATACCATTATGATACCATTATATGTTAGAATATGAATCTGTAATGCGCATGCTGCTGCGTCTGCTGCTGCTGTAAAAGAAGAGGGTACTGGCTGAAAGCCTAATTATGCTTGCAATATTTTTTACAAACCCTAATTAAATGAGGATACTAAATTAGAACTGACCTTTCATATCATTATATCATTATAATTGTAAGGAAAATCTTTTTTCCTTACTTCGCGTCCCTGCTCAGCGCGTACACCACTGTTCCCGCCAGCAGCACCCAACAGTAATCCGTTACCACTCGCGACACTCGCTTCGACACCATTCCCGCCACCGTTCACGACGCGACCCAGCCTCACGGTTCGGTTGGTAACCCGCGCTCCGGACCTCTGCCTCGACATCTCCCAACCTCGGCATTAGGCCCGTCGCGCACCCCATTTTTCACACATTACCGTTACCACTATAGTTTCGCTATATATTCTTCGCTCATGCCTTCGCTCATTGTACTCTTGCTTCGATAGTGCAATTCTCGCTCGTTCATTCAATTGCACTCGTAACAATAATAGTCAATTTTCAACGTCAATAAAATGAGCATAGCATAAATAAGCATAGCATCTTCAATTTTCATGTTATTAGTTGACATTTTCTTTCTGTTCATTAGCATATTCTTTGTTTTGTTGTTTTGTTGTAAGGAGGAATTGCTTTCCCGCCAGATCAAACCCACAACGCGTGTCCGGCACTCGACTCGTCCACATTCATTGTCAAGGCAAATGTCATTCATTTTTTAAAACGTTTTTCGTTTTTTCCAATGCTCCACATATAATGGCATTTTCTTTGAAACCGGAGCTCCGAATGTTGAAGGTTGTACAATACGAAATTTTGGCTGTTCGCGCGAAACAAGGAGTTTCGCGGTGAAACTGATCGACACACAAGCCGCGCAAATCCACAAGCCGCGTCAACGAGGCGCGACGCAATTTGTGGGGATCGGGGGAGGGAAAGCAAAATGTCATTCCAATTTCACAATTCACCACAATCTGGGTTCCATTCCATCGTGCTGGCACAAAGGCGGGACTTGTTACCTTATGACCTACGACGAGTTCTGCCCTGAGCTAGAAAACAGTCTTGCTCTCGATAGCTTTGGTACCTGCGGTAGTCCCACGTTGCTTTCATACCTCCTCATTCCACTTCGGAGATACTGACAGAAGTGCGCGCATACGAGAAGACGGAAACCTGTTTGTGATCTAGCCCCGTGATTAAGCGGCTTGTGTAGTTCTGCAAACAGCCCCACATATTGCTGTCCGTAATAGAGCTATGGCTCTCCGCTGTTAAGCTCTGTTTCTCTTCCTGATATTACCAGCGTTCGTGAATGCTGCGCCATCAAGCGTACACGGTGACGTAGCAGCCACTCTAATCCGTGGCAGCCCGAGGAGCTTGGCGCAAGCGGCCCCATGCCGCGCGTCCACGTTGGGGGGATACACGTCATCGATCGGATTCAACAGAATGGGGTAAGGAGGCGAATGTGGGTTTACTAATAGAAACAGTCTGCCAATATGCGCTTCACTAGCCTGAAAAATGGACGCGACACGTGGGAAACACTGCGACGCGAGTGAGCTGATTGTAAGTACGGGGAGGGAGCTTATGGTTACAAGGCAGATACACCAGAGAACAAATCTCGTTTTGACTGTCAGTCGTCTTCATTCTCGATGAAGTGCGTTCCAAGAACAAAAACTGTTCCGTGATTCTTTTTTCCAGGTTCAACCTCCACTGGAAGGTTACAAGCCGTCAGAGCATCGATATTGCCGTCGAGGCCAAGACCGGCAGCGGCGTCGCCAGGGGCTGGTTCGCTATAGGCTGGTCCAAGTCCGGCCTAATGTACCCCGCGGATGCCGTTATAATGAATTTCAAATCCGACGATAGCGACACTACACCGCCATTGGGCACATTCGCGTTGTCGAAGCGCGAGGAGTCGGGCGTAAAGCCAACATCGAGGTTCGCTATAACGAACACGGAATTCACGTCCAACACTAGCGCCGGCATTCTCGTCAGGTGAGCACAGCTGCTCGTGCCGGAATCCGTCCAAACTACAGTTTACGCTGCCATTTTGTCGTAGTCAAATCTGTCACGCATTTGCCTCCGCACCATTCATTCGTCACAAAGTATTGCGTACGCCGAATGAAGTCGGACAGCTCACATTCGTGCGTCCTCTTTTTAAGTATCATCACAGATATCCCCGCCTCCGCACTCCCGTTTCGCCAACGAATACTAGCATGATTATCTCATACCAAGTGTTCTCGTTTCCCATATGGCCCTGCCGTCGGATCAGGTTCACTCGGAGCAAGTTCGACGGAATCGTGCCCGTCAATTACAACGGGCCGAATCAGATCATATTCGCGTACGCGCCCAAGGGAAGCCAGGAGGTCAAGGGCCACGCCGGCAAGAGGTAACAACTCGCCCTCGCGTCCCTTTTCAAGACGACTCAAGATCCTGCAAGAATGAAATAATACGTTTTCGCATCTATTTTTCAATCCAGTAAAATATCGGCAAAAGCTTCTACCACCAATTTACACCATTCTGCACCGCCTTGTACTCCCCTCCCCACCACCCGCATTACGTCGTAGCCTAATCGCATCTCGTTCATACTTACAGAGATCCCCCCCCCTGTCCCCCTCTCCCGTCTCTGCCTTCTCCCCCTCTTCCGCCCCCTCCCCCTCTTCCGCCCCCTCCCCCTTTTCCGCCCTCTCCCCTTTTTCCGCCCCCTCCCCCTTTTCCGCCCCCTCCCCCTTTTCCGCCCCTTCCCCCTCTTCCGCCCCCTCCCTTTTTTCCGCGCCGCCCCTACCCCAGGGGATGGGTCCTTGTCGACTTCTCCTGCAAGCCTGGCTCCTCTTCCGCTTCTAGTTCCCCCACACCCTCCTCCCCCTCCAAAGCACCTTCCGCCACGCAAACCCCTTCCCCCGCCAAGTCCTCATCCCCCGCCAAGTCCCCCTCCCCCGCCAAATCTCCCGCCAAATCTCCCCCCAAATCTCCAAAATCCCCCCCGAAGTCCCCCAAGCCGTCCCCGCCCCCGCCCTCGCCCTCGCCCCCACCTCCCTCTGATGTGATGAACCCAGTGAGCACCCCCTGTAAGAGCACCTCCGGTAGTAGCAGCAGCTCCTGCAAAGCGTCGACTCTGGCTGGCTACACCTCCTATGTCGACTTAAATGGCAAAGGGTAAGCTTATACATGTCAAATCCTCCATTCTTTCCTTCTGCAGTTGATAAACAGGTGTCACAAAAGCCACATTCTTCCTCATGCCTTGTCTTTCCATGTGCACTTCTACCCTGTTCCCGTTGCAGACTGCGTCTTCACTGGAAAGTGACCTCTGATACCAGTGTAGCTCTGGCGGTTGAGGCGAAAACAGGCAGCGGGGCGGAGAAGGGCTGGTTTGGTGTGGGATGGTCTGGCTCCAGCTCTATGGTTCCTTCTGACGCCGTTCTTGGGAACGTGAAGGGCCTGTTGCCTGTAGCGAGCTACGCTGTATCGGGGTACAGTGCGAGCAAGATCTCAGTCACTTCACGTTTCGCCATTGGGCAGCCAGAGCTGCTGACGTCAACCAGTGGCGTCGTTATGAAGTACGTTCGTATGAGGGTGGGGTGTGAGGAGGATAACGAATGCGCGTGTGAGTTTGTGAGTGTTGAGAATGTGAGCATGATGGGGGAATGTGCTCCGCGGTCTTCCATTCCAACCTCCTGTTTCTAGTACCCAGGAGGTGTCTTCCTCACATAACCATCTTCTTGTTCTGCCTCTGCAGGTTTGGTCGTAGCAAGGCTGATGGGGAAGGCATAGCGACGGTGGTGTACAAGGGAAAGAACAAGATCATCTGGGCGTATTCGGGCAGCGGATCGCGCACCATTGACGACCACAAGGATAACTAGTAAGTCGCAACAAACCTACTAAACCGCATTTCACATTCTTCTCAACAGCCTCGCATGTCTACTTCAACGTGTCAAGAATTTGGGGGATATGAGAGGTAGTGCCTTTGGTTTCTTCTTTGGCTGATATATCCCCCTCCCTCCCTCTTTCTCTCTCCTACCGTGTGCAGTGGCTCCACAACTGTGGACTTCTCGTGCAAGCCTGCACCAACCAAGTGGTGAAACCCCTCCTCTATTCCCCAACGTGCAAGTACCTCTATCTCGTCTCCTTCTCCCGCTCCCTTCACCACCCCCGTCCACCTCTTCCTTTTAGCCCATGGTTACTTAGAAATGGTACATTTGTGTAGCTCAAAAGGGATAGGCTTGGAGATGCACTTGGTGCCATTTACGGCACCTAATAAAGTGTTGATTCTCGAGTACAAAAGCGTTGTAAACTCCTCCAATAATCAACATACAATGAAACATGTTCCGGACGTGCATGTCCCCAAGGCTAAGTTCTTCCTGGTGTTCATCCCGTTTAAGACTCTACTACATTCGTGCTGTAGTGTTCAGATTATTAGAGGACCTATGTACACTGAACAAACTGCATGTTACACGAACCGCATTGTAGCCTACTTCACAGCCTTAAGCGGCTATCGCGCGCACGCACACGCCTTATTAGTCGATCAAAGTAACTGGTATCTTCATGCCTTCACGCACTTGTGCGGCTTTCCCTGCACCGGTTTGTACCCACTTGCACACCTGCACTTGAACTGCCCCTTCCCTGCTGGAACGCACACACCATGGCCCGAGCACGGCCCATTCGTCGCACTCGTGCCGCAAAACCTACTGCACGCCGCCGAGCTGCGCTGCTGTTTCATGTTACACGTGGCGCTCTTACCGAGGCAGTTCAGAGCCGCAAGATACTCATCGTCGCCTGAGTCTGGATCCGCCTGCCCCTCCTCCGGGCAGACCTTCCGATTGGACATTATGAACTCCGGGCTGCCCCAAAAATAATTTCCGCGCACGTCTACCGGCGGCTCCTCCTCTCCTCCCATGAACCCCAGATTTGGCATGGGCCCTGAAAAGAAGTTGAAGGAGATGTTGAAACTTGCCACGTGGACCTTCTGAAACGCGTCGGCGGGAATCGTGCCGATGAACGCGTTGCGCTGCAGGTACAGGTGCTCGATAACTGGGGTGGTTTTCAAGTTCGCCCAGGGAAACTCCCCTCCTAGCCTGTTAAACGAAAGGTCCAAGGTATGCAGGTTTGGCATGTCTTTCAGCAGAGCCGCAGGGACTGATCCCTTGAACCTATTCCCAGCCAAGCGCAGACTCGCCAGCTTTTTCATCTGCACGAACTTGGACGGAATCCTGCCCGAAAGAATATTCCCACTAAGGTTTATGTCTGCCAGAGCCGGATGGGTAGCAAGGGCGCCAATAGACGAACCAGTGAACCGATTGCTACGCAGATCCACCTCCTCGAGGCTCTTTATAGCGAGTATAACGGAAACGGGGAGTTCACCGGAGAGTTTGTTATTCCCGAGAATCAGCCGCTTCAGGCCCTTAATTTTCGCGAGGGTCGGCGGAATCGATCCGGTCAACCGATTTCCGCTCAAGTCAAGCACGCTGAGCGCCGCCATGCTGGACAATTCCTGGGGGATTCCGCCTTCGAGACGGTTCCATTGCAGGTCGAGGTACTGGAGGCGGTTCAGCCGCGCAAGCCCGCGCGGGATGCTCCCCGCGAGGCCCGTTCCGCGGAGCCCGAGGTACGTGAGCTGCGCGAGTTTCCCGAGGAAATCCGGAAGGCCGCCGGAGAGGCTTCCATGGATATTGTCGCGAATGCTGAGTGATTCGAGCTTCTGGAGTTTCGCAAGGCTTTTGGGTAAGCTTCCGCCGAAGCGCCAATTGTTGGAAAAGTCGAGCAGCGTCACCTCCGTCAGATTTCCGACGGATTCCGTCAGCGCGCCGGTGCACGTGTAATCGCTGATGTAGACCTGGGTGACCATCCCGCCGTCGTTGCAAACGACGCCGGACCATTTCGAACAGTCAACGCTGGCGACCCATGTGTTGGTTACTGTGCAGTTTCCCCACGCGGTTTTCAGTGAGAGTAGTGCCTTCTCTTGCGAGGGGAGCAGGGGGACGGCGCTGGACGGGGAGATTGCGGCGAAGGCGACGAGTGAGACGAGGAAGACGAGCGAGAACGGTGTCATTGTCGCTGCTAAACGAGAGCTAACGAGATCATAAAATCGAGGGAAACTAACGATAGTCGTTGGCTGAATCCTGCATCAGGCACTGGAGTGACTAGCTGTTTAAAGTTGTTGCTGGAAAGCGTGTCAGGAGAACAATCTATCTATTCCTGCTGAGAAACGAGCAAGCCCAGCTTGCTTTATATGCACGAACCCTTCCGTAGTTCGAGCAGCGCCCCGGTGCTTGCGGAGCTGGCAATAATGACCTGCAGGGAAAGTAGGACATGCGGGTCGCATTTCAAGTGCTGTCTGGTTTGCAAAAAGCTCATTCCAGAAAAGTGACAGCGACAGTTCCTCTGTCGTCCTGTCGAAACGCCCTCTTCCTGTGTTGTTCAGGTTTGGACGAAGCTGCTCCTAAACCCTGAAAACGTGGATCATCGCTGGTTCAGTTCTGGTACGATAGTATGCACTCAAGAACAATGTCTGAGATTCACCGCCTTGAACCACCTCACCATCCTGAACCAACTCAACTGCAACCGGACAAACTGGTTCCTCAATGCCGTTTTCCTTTCGGAACGAGAGTCAGACTCAAAACCCTCCAGAAGCAAAATTTCGGGCGCCAGCGGATTGCAAATTTTGCAACCGGCGGAAATTGAGAAATTGCGAGTCGCGTCGCGAGTACGACTTGCTGAGGTAGCTGATGGGTGGACATGGGGAGCCGAAACCGTGGCCAGCGAGTGTCCGCCGCCACGTCTACTGTATTCTCCCCATTCGCTGCTTGAACACCGAGATGTACCCGCGTAGGCGACGGCGCGGCTGCCTCAGCTGACGTCGGATCATGGAAATCGAACCGCTAGCAGCTTGGGGGTCAGCACGTCAGCAACACAGCCGGTGCAATATTTGAAATCAACCAGCTACGAGTACACTGAACAACACGGTAAGAATCACTAAAGAATGGCCAATCATCCTTACCCATGACAAAATTACTTTGGCCTAGCACCCCCAGATGGCCGCGCACCTTCTGGCCATTGCAGTGTCTGCACGAAACTTTCTTGGACGGTGCCACCACGACCGGCGGTGGTGAAGGCGTTTAGGGAATGGGGCAGAAGTGTAGCGGACTGCTTTGAGCAGCTTTTTCCTCGCACATGGGAGCACGACCCAGGCCGGTCTAGGTTGGCGCGCCTGCAGTTCCACCTCCCAGTTCGCCTAGGTGGTTTCAGTGTACGGGCTGCGGTGTCTTTGAGCCCACTCTCCTACGCCTGTGGATAGGCGCAGGCGGCGCGGGGTGTGGCTCAGCTGGAGATAGTAGGAAAGGAGGCGATGTTTTCCGACTACCTTAGCACCTCAGGAGAGGGGGGTGGACTTTCTCGACCCGTGGTTCTCCAAGAGCCTCGAGCAGCTGCCTGACGCTGTACGCCAGGAGATGCCGGGTCTCCATATCTGCGTAGCGGCACCACGTGTTCGGCTTTTCCACACCCGGCTGCGGTTGTTAGCTGTGGAGGAGCTCCAGGCCCTCCGTTGTATGGCCCGTGATGATGCTACCCTGGCCCGTTTCACATCCCTTCAGGGCCCGGGAGCTAGTGCATGGGTCTTGGCGGTGCCTGCACATTCCGATTTGACTTTCACGGCCTCTGTGTGGGGCATTTCCGCGGCTGTGCGCTTCGGCCTTCCGATTCAGCAGTTGCACGTCGCGGGCCGTTGCGTTTGCGGCACTGGGTATACGGACCCGGCGGACCCACACCATGCATTGCGCTGCAAGCACCAGCATGGACCGTGTCAGGTGCACGACGAGGTGAAGTTTGCAGTGGCTATGATCGCTAAGGCGTCGGGAGGGGTGGTGTCGATGGAGGACGACTCGATGTTGATAGAGAAGCGGGTGGATGTCGCGGTGCGCCGACCAACGGCGGGGGAAGCGCATGCTCTGGAGGTTAGTGTTGCTGACCCATTGTCTCTGTCTCCGGCCTTGGTCGGGCAGTACAAGCGGTCCATAGAAGTGATGGCCAAGGAGTGGGAGCGCAGGAAGACGGGAGATTACGCGCAGCTGTTAACGCGGAACCGGGGAGTGCAGTTCACCCCTCTGATTGTCGAGACGTGGGGGTGTCTGGGTGGGCCTTTTCAGTGTTGGCTGCGGCAGCAGGGGGACGCGCAGTCATTTTCTTCATATCTGATGGGATCCTTGAAGGCTATGATTGGGGTGGCATTGCAGCGTGCTCAGGCTTGGGTGATCCTGCTTCGTGCTGCGTCGTCTATGGGAAGCTCTGTAGGTGGAGGCTCAGTATTTGGTGTCCGCCCCGTTTTGAGGGGCGCTTGAGGGTTATTTGTCGGCCAGTAATAGACATCCGGAGGAGGTAAGCCAACATATGTCAAGGTATCTTTCCTCTATAATTTGGGGCCAAGCAGTGCGACACTAAACCACTTGCACGTGAAATATCAATACCCGAGGATGAGTATCCTTATTATTGTTACAATACAGAGTTGACTTGAGCATTCAAGTACGTAACAAAAGCAATCACTACCGAAGACGGAAACCAAGGGTATAGATGAACTGAAGCGACGAAGACGGTTGAAACGCCAAGACCAATGCAGGCATAATCATATGTGAGGAAATTGGCGGGGCATATTTAAAACGGATTCCCTCGCCACACGGTTGAGATTCGCTGTAATAAAGGAATGTACCACTTAGAGTAGATGGCTCGCTATGACGTTTTTTATTCCTTGAAATCCATAAAAAAAACCCATATATGTATTCGTTATAATAACTTCTGTCATTCTACATCCACTCTGATCTGAGTAATTAATAATTTCCGCTATGCATCACCCTGCGATCAACCATGGGCAAGATCCTAACTAAGTCCCCCTTATGATTGTAACAATAATAAATATAACTGTTGGGCTGAGAAATGCCCTTAGGATATTTTAGAGATTAGTCCTTAACAGAATATTGCAGCGGAAGACTTGAATTCCTGTACTGGTTAAGTGTGAGAACAATAATTGATTATAATGAAAAAGTACATGAAATATATAGTCCAGCAAAGTACATATTCGGTAATGTACATG